ATGCCCACTCTGTCCACATTTGTAGCAAAGTCTTTTGTACTGGTCCACAAAGCTAATTGTTGTTCTGTTCAACTTGAAAGTTTGTTTTTCTACTGTTCTAAGCTGGTCCTCTGTTTCAAATGCTATGTATGCAAATCTCTCCCTAAAGTATCTGCCCATTCTGGGGATATACAGAATTTTTCCTTCTGTTTCTCTTGCTATTTCCTCTAAGTCATATGCTATAGTGCCTGCCGGCAATCCTGCCAGTTTAAGCACATATTTGGATCTTCTTGCAGCTCCTCTTTTTCCTCCTATTTTGGAAGTATTCTTAGATATTCTTTTTCGAATAGGATCGATCACATTTTGGCCAATAGTTATGCATTTTTTTCTTCTTTGAAAGTCACTGTTGCCGTTTGCCACATTTCTACTGGTTTAAACACCATGCTTTGAATGTCTCCAAACTTTCTTAAGGTTGCTTTGACTACCCTTCACTTGCTGAAAAAGGAATCTCTGACTATTACTATTAATCTTTTTTCTTATTGGTGTTTCCTTTGTTCCACTGGAGTTAAATGTTCTCTATTTTCATCCGTGCTGAAATTAATCTCACATGCCTCCTGCATGTCAATGAGATTACCAAAATTGGCAATGATTGCTTTCTTTTTTCCTGCCGCTTCTCTTCCTACTCTCACCCCCAAGAAAGAGTTGAAGGTGATACATGCCTTCTCTATAATTTCTAAAGTCTCTGCCGATTCTGTGCCAGTTGCAATCTCCATAGAACATATGTGTCTTGGTTTCCTTACCACTTCTCTTGGCTGTCCCTTGGTCTTTTTCCCCTTTGCCTTTTCTTCGTATACTCACTTCTCCTCTGCTCTGATATCTGGACCATTCATATTCTTGCTATTCTCTTTTGCTTCTGTACCTTTCTCTTTAATTTCCATTCCCTGTTCTTCTGTTGCCTCTTGCCTTTTCTTTCTTGCTTCATCTTCCTCTTCTTCTATTTCTTTGTTTTTTCCTTTTCCCATGTTCATACTTGTTACACGTACTGGTATTTTTCTTCTTTTTTCTTTATCCAGGCTCTTAGGTCTTCCTGGTCCTCTCTTGACGATTATAGTGACCAACACTCACGCTTCTCTGGTTGCATTTATCGTTTTTCTCTCCGTGCCTCTTTCTCTTCCCCCACTTGATGTTGTTGCTTGGCTGACTCACATCTTTCTTTTCACTTTCTTGACGCTTTTCTTGATTTTTTAATAAGGCAATTTTTCTTGTGTAGGAAAGAGTTTTTTATAATTTATATTATTTTACTTTGGATATTCAGAAACCTATTTTTATAATATTTTACTTTTTACATTCTATTCTATTATTTTATATTTTATATTTATGATGACAAAAGAAAATAAAAAAAATAATCAATTAAAAAAATAATAAAATAATAAAATAATAAAGTTGAAGATTAATTATTTTTTTAAATAATCTCTTTAATATGTAAAAACATTTTGCAAATTTTAAATCATTGTTTGTTGTTATTTCTTCATAATTATATTTATTATTTTTATAAAACAAAAAGAAAATCTTTATTTTTTAAACACATTTCTTTATATATAAAATTTTTTATATAATTTTATATAATTTTTAATTAATTTTGTATTTTTATTACTAAGTAATTATGATTTAAATTGTTGAAATATTGTTTTATTTAAAAAAAAGGAGGTTTTTTAATTTTTATTAAGATGTTTTTAGGTCTAGTCATTTAAATTTTTTTATAAGCAATAATAAATATAAGTGTTCTTAAAATAAATTGTTTTTGTAACTTATTATTACTAAATAATTTGAAATATTTGAACATAATATTTTGATATTAATATTTAATAATTTAATTATTAAAATTCTTGTAAAATGTTTATTAATTATGATGTAAATATTGGTCAATTGTTTTTAATATATGTGAAGTATTTTTTTTAAAATGATTTCCATCTGATTTTTTTTGAATTCTTATTTTTGAAATTTAATTTTTAAGATTATAATAAACTGTTAACATATTTATATGAATTTTGAAATATGTTTTATTTGTAGAAGTAATCTTATTATTTTATAAGTATAAAGATTTGCCATTGTATATTTTTTCAGAAGATGACATTATAAGAATTTATTTATAAAAAAAATTGAAACTTTAAGAATATATATATATATATATATTAAAATGTGTTGATTACATATTTAAACTTTTATGTCAATTGTATTTTTTTTAAAAAAATGTTATTTATGTCATGTAAATAAAATTTCAAAAAATTTTGTGACATACTATATTTTATTATATATTTGCATTAAAAATGTAACAAAGTTTTCTTCAATTAAATTTAATTATTAATTACTAAAAAAGATTTTATATAGACTATTGATTTTTTTGTCACTTAGTAACTTACCCTTTGAATATTCTTGAATCCTTCTTGAGTTTATGAAACTTTTCTAGTTACATTACTGGAGCTATAAGCATATATACCATAACAGGTAATAAGCGAAGTTTATATTTAAAACTATTTACTGTATTTGTTAAAATCGAGCTTTTTATAAGTAAGCTGTCTAGATGACACTATTACTATGTATCATTTAACTCTTGCTCTATGTTCTTGTTTATACATACTATTCTCCTGCGCCACATAAATAAATTCTTCTCATAGTAAGGCAGTAATTACGCAACGCTCGCAATCGAAAAAAATAATTATGTTTGCTAAAAAAGAAACCGAAATAAATAACAAAAGAAAAGCTTTTATTACTCTTTTTTGAAGTTTATATAAAACGATATACTGTAATATTCAAAGTTCCAAACAAACTATTGATAAAATACAGAAGCTGTGATATATCCATATTAAGAAATTCAGAGTATATACAAAAATTCAAGTTACTCTATTCCATGTTTCATTTCGGTCTCTAATTTTTTTAAAGCTTCGCCCGCTTTCTTATGACCATTCAATATCGTCAGTTCATAATATGATTTTGCAAATGGTTTTTTCACCTTGATACTCAGTTTTCCCTCACGGTATATTTCTCCTAATAAGTATGCAGCTTCCGCATGGTTATCGTACGCTGCCGTTCTTAAATTACTAATAATCGAACGCCTCTTTTCTAGTAAAAATGATTCATCATCAAAGTATAAATTGATAAATGAAATTGCATATTGAAACTTTGCTTTTGTATAACCGTCCTTGGCTGCCTTTTCGTAATACTCTAATGCTTTGTATCGATCTTTTTCAACAAAATTTCCTCTCCAATAAAATTCACCGACCCAAAATTTTGCTTCAGTATTTTCAGCTTTAGCGTTTGCTTCAAAAATGTCGAAAGCAAGCTTGTAGTTTTTTTTATTGTACGCTTTGATGCCATCTTCAATAGGTGGTATTAATTTGATGGTAGATGTACTTTCTAAATTATGCGTCGTTCCTGCGGGTGCAATGTCTTCACATCTTTTACTACAAGCGTTCAGCTTCTGTATTTCATTAAACAAAGAACCTATTTCTATCCGTAAGTCAGGTTCGTGTTCCCAAGCTAAAAATACGACACTAAATGTTAATAATTCACATAGGAATGCGGCAAATAAAGTGATGAACCAAATATTTGCCTCTTCTAATTATTTGAGCATATTTTTTGTCATCCCCGCATGGTGATAAATTATAATTTAGTTCCTCTCGTTTACGAGATCTCACATGATCTATCAAATCCTCTATTTTTTTTCCTATATACGGTATTCTTTCATATTTTAGCTCCCAAAGTAACATCCCAAAGCTATTAAGATAAAAATGTATTATTATATGTCAAGGCTTTAAGAATATTTTTTATAAACTTACCTGAATATTTCACACGCTGCAGTATAAGAATAAGAATATTTTTTACCCTCAGGTAGATATTCAACCATCTTTTCGGGAGCCATCCAATTAACAGAACTCTGATGATTTTTTTCCGGCGTCTCCGTCTCTTTCTCCTTTGCAAATTTAAAGTTTGCAATCTTTGGTTCCCATCTAGCAGTCATCTGATGTGAAGTTTATATTATTGTGGTAACATAATATCAAATATTAAAGAAAAGAAGAAAAAAACCTACAAGAATATTCTCACATCTTATATCGTGATGATATATCCCGGTGGCATTCAGGAAAACCAATCCTCGACAAATATCCAATGCAATGCTAGATTTTTCACATAAAGTGAATTTCTTTTTTTCATAAACTTCTTTTAAACTGTGCCGTTCGGCCCATCTATAAATCATGTAATCTTCACCGTCGATGTTTGACATTCCGTAAAATTGAATGATACTGTCACATTTACATAGTTTTTCGAGGATTGCTACTCGCGCTTTAAACTTTTTGGCTTGGATCTCGTCGTCCTTTCCTATATTCACTTTTTTACCCGCTACATCCATTCCTTTGTAACGTCTCCTTATTACAGTTTCACGTTTAGCATCAACTCCATTTGGAATTTTTTTAAGTTGTTCGGAAGGAATATTATTGACTTGAAACATCAGATCCACTTTACTGTTATCAATTTCATAATTTGTTGTTTTAAATTGCTCTTGTACGGTACTAAGAGATGTCATGAATTTTTCGTTGTAATCTTGGTTTTCGTTCATTTCGGTTTCGAGATCAGATTTTACTAAAAACTTCACAATGAGATTATTATCAGTATTTTTAAAAGAATGTGGCATACAATATTGTAGTTATTCAGACGCACCTTTATTTGTTCGAGATCATCATTGAGAGTTTTCATGTCCTTTTCGGTATTGAACGATACTTGCAACCTTAATTCAGAGGAATACGTGTCGAAATCTTCCAGTATCGTACGTAACATATCCTTGATTGACTGACTGTTGTTAAATCTTTTGAGTTGTGAAAGTTGCGAAATTTCTTCTACAAATTTTTGAACCCTTTTCATAACGTTGGCAAACTTAACAAATGATTCATAATAATTCTGGTTGCAAAAATCCTCCACATGATCCTCTTTATCACGAACTAAAGATTTTACTACGCATTCTGTAAATTCGACACGAGTTAGTAAGGCCCCGCATATTTTCTTGTTATACTGAGATTTTCTATGGGCCTCGAATACGGCTCCTGAAACTTTGCTTAAAGTTTTAACAAATTTTAGATATGGTTTTACTACAATCGTGGGATCACCCGGACTGTTTTCTTCGGTTAACATATTTTTAATGTTTACGTTATGGTCCAAGTTTAATGTTTGATATACTTAAATAATATTGACGAAGAGAGGTTCACATGAAGGTCCAAGGTATTTATACATTGACGGGTAAAGGTCTTATTCAGTACACAAAACAACAACAGCTGCGTACTGTACTTAAAATTTACTTCAACCATTGGATATAGCCAAAGAAGGAAAATAGTATGCGATCTTGTACAACGTGTGGAACATTCGATACTCGGTTTTAATAAGGACAAACGAAAAAGAGAATTTGGCTGAAATTTAATAATTAATTATTTTTTTTTTAATAATTTAAGTTCGGCAGGACTGATTTAAACTTTAGCTGTTCCGGTCTAACCAAACTGCAGTTTAACAATTAGCATAAAATTCTTAAGTCACATACCAGGGCCAACCTATTCTTAAGAAATTATGCAATATTTTTTATTGACTTGGCCAGTACTGCACAATAAAAGAAATAGAGTTAAACACATATTGATTAAATGGCAGAATCAGAGTTGGACCCTTAAACAAAGCGAATATCTTGCTTCATATTTTTGGCATTATTGTTCTATATATTTTTTGTTTAAAAATATTTTACATGTGCCTTTTACCCTGCATTTGAATTACTTTTTTATCAAATAGTTTGAATTTTTCTTTAAACATTTTATATTATAGTAATAGATTGTGTGATGTATTTATTTGATTACAAGTTTGTATAGTTTGGAAATTCAGACTTTCCAGGATTTTTTGCTGTTGTGTAAAAGAATCAAATTTAACTTCATAATTATTTAAAAATAAATTATTGCAAAGTATATGAGAATAATTTAATTACGGGCTAGTTATACCTATAACAATAATTGTGTCGTTATTATTATAAGACAAATAATGATAAAACATATCAAAAAAATTTTTTGTCTTGTTTTGACAATTATTAAACACATATTTTATTAAACTTTCATTTACTTCCATTATATTTGACTATTATTTAATCATTAAAAATTAAAACAATTATAAAATTTCGTTATTATTACAATCGTTAAACTGCAAATGATTTATTTTAATAATAAAAAATATAGATATATTCTATGTTCATAGTATTACCTATATAAATATAAAAAAATAATAAATAAAAATATGATTAATTAATTTTTTTTTTTACTATTTCAAACAAAATTTCTAATTATAATTAAAATAATTATTACAATATTAAAAAATTTTAGATTTTCAAAAAAAAACATTTTGATTTTTTAAAAGATAATTAGTAAAATATAAGTTACCAAGCATTTATTTTCAACTATATTGAAGACATCTAAGCATTATAGTTCTAAAATCTCTTACTGTAAAATTTTTTAACATCTGTAACATGAAAATCATCTTATATTAGCTACAGAATTATTGGTTATACTAATGATGATATCTATTAAATTCTCTATATATTTAATAATTTTATATATTAAATTTTTGAATATTATCAGTTTCAATGTTATTATAAAAAATATCTTGGTTTGAAAAGCATTACTGAATTTTTTATTATTAAAAAAAATTCCTACCAAGTTATACGAAAAAAATTTTAAATAACTCTGCATACCAAATATAACAGATTATGATCTTTTTCACTTTTTGCACCTTTTTCTACCTTTCATACCTTTTACTATTGTATTTTAATACTTTCTCCATTTTCATATATGCAATTGGTAAATGGAAAAAATGGTAGACAAAAAATTAATAAACTACTACTGTTGTCGTCACCGGCGAGTCTGTCGCCAAAACGACTCACTCTTCGCGTGACGATAACCCAAACGCTTGGATTTCGGCACCAAATAAAGGTAAGGCTATAACTCTGAGGCGGTTACAATTTGGTCGTTTTCACACTTGCTAATCTCTTCTTGACCGTCTTTCTCTCTAGGTGCAATCAAGATTGCAAGTGTCTCTCTTTACGGTGCAAAAGGTAACTCAGCTTTCTTCTCTCAAAGGTTACTTTACTTTACTGTGGTGGTGGTAGTCTTAGTTTATACTTCAGAGAGTGTAAATATTTATTGTGCAAAGTAGAATAGTATATATTTAATAAAAAAAAAACGCGAGAAAAACAGGTGGGTTCCAAACTAAACTCTTCTAAAATCTCGGATCTCAAACTGACTCTAAACTCCCTCCCTACAAATTATGGAAAACTATCCTATTTATATGCCTTATTGGCGCGTCCACCCAGTTACATGCTATGACTAATTATTACATAATTCTGCTATCATTGTTACTATTGTTACTCGACGCGCCTCAATGTCGCGTTCCCATCCCTATTGTTCCCACAACTACTTGCCTCTAAAAACCAATTTCGTTTTATAATCCTCCCATTATTAACATACTTGGTTAAATATTGTGCATGCTATATTACGTGAAAAAACTATTCCAATTCCTGAATAAAGAGTGCTACATCATGGTATTGATGAAAACAATCCAACAGTGATTGTTCCCATAAAAATATAGATACTTTAATAAATGTGAGTGTCATTATCTAATTAATTAGGGCAACGTATCATTAAATAATGAAAAGCCAGTGATTAAAATAAATTAGCAACTAATAGATTAAATTGATCATGCTTCTAAAGGGAATACAGTTAATAATAGTAAAATGTTATTTATAAAGAAACATTGTCAGGCTAATACACTCCTCACAAGATCGAGTAAACTCTTAAATAAAATTTAAATTTTGACAGACTTGCTATCGACAACAGATAGATTACATAATGCTTGAACTTTTTTAATAAAAAATTTTTTGGAAAAAATATATACTGTACATATTCAGCAAAAACGTGTGACATTAACGTTCTCAATTATATATGATGTGATTCATCACTGCTTCTATATCAGAATTTTATAATTTGATGTTCATTTTTTGATATCAACTATTTCTACTCTATTACAATATTTAAATAATTTTATATACGTTTAAATATTAATGAAATAATGTCTGGTAATTTCTTAAAATAAAATATGCCAAATACTGTAACCACTTGATTTAGCCTTAATCATATTACAATCAGCAATGTTAATGAAATCTTTGTGAGATTTAATTGTTGAGTCAATTTTAGAAACTCCAATGCTAACCGTAATATGTATTGTTTTTGATCCATAGATAAATGGATGTTTCTTAACAGAATTTTTAATTCCTTCTGAAATTTCGTCTACCGACCTAGCTCTGATACCTTTAAGAAGAATCGCAAATTCGTCGCCGCCACATCGCGCAAAAATATCTCCTTGTTTTATGTACCCTATATCTTTAATTAGATTGACAAACTCTTTTAGAATATCACTTCCAGCATCATGACCTATTGTATTATTTATCTCTGTAAATTTATCCATATCCATAAATATTAAGCTCAAATTCAGTCCATTTTCTTTAGCATAATAAAACTCATATTCTAAGGATTCTTTAAAGTGGTTTTGATTATAAATATTTGTGAGTGGATCCAAAAATTTTTCATACTCGCCGGCGGGGAAATACTTAAAAGTGCTGTTTCCCATTTTAATGACATCATCTTTTTGCAAAGGACGTTTGTCATGAGGAAGAAGTTTTATGTCACCGACATAAGTTCCAAACGTAGAATCCAAGTCTGTAATTAAGGCTCCACCTTGATATTCGATAATTTTTGCATGTGATTTAGAAACGTTTTGACATTTAATAACGATATCATTAGTGAAATCTCTTCCCATAAACGTTTCGTCCTTTATGAAAAGGTAACGACCATCTTGAGGTATACCTCTGGTGACCATTAAAAAAGCCTTTGAGGTCTCTTCGTTAAATTTCGCAATAATTACTGCTCGATGACAGCACTTCTGATATATAAGATCATAATCAAAGGTCTGAAGACACTGACAAATTTTGCCTATTGATAATTTTTGAGCCCGTGCACCTCGACAAAGATCTATGTAATCTATTGGGGTTCCAATACTATGAGAGCGGATCTCAGTATTGAAATTGTCGATTGATCTTCCGATTGATATTTCTACAAATAATTCTCCCAGATCAAAGATATCTTTGTTCATAGTCGTGAGATTCAACGATTTTGATGAACCAAAATTTGTGATCAGCCACCTGTCACCATGACCTTTTACTATATTTTTTGTGGACTGATAGTTCATTAAAAGCTGTGCATTAATCATTTAAGGCTAGCAATTATAAAATATGCACTCACCAGGTTGCAATGTGCGACGCCTGCGTTATGAATGTAATTTAAGCCATACGAAACATATTTTGATATTTTTACTTTTGTTCTCCAATCTAGATCCGTGTTTTTTTTCAAGAAAGTTTTAAGATTTTCTTCACCGACATATTGTAATACCATAAAATACCGTCCTACACGTTCCGGATCTTGATTTATTGATGGAAAAATAATGAGATAAGTAACACTTTAAGAAGAAATTTTTGAAATTTTTGGTAAACCCTTGAAGCTAAATTTATCTCGGAAAGAACAATTGGAAGATACCTTTACAAACTCCCATAAACTGAATTACATATTCGTTGGAAACAATCGAGATCATGTTCTCTACCTGAATTATAAGCTTTGAGCATTTTATTGATAAATACATAAAACATTATGTACTGTATGTATAACGCACATACCACCCTGAAAAACTTCTCAGGATATTCATTATTGGCATAATCTTCATTATCTCGTTCGTCTTCACTTTCGTCAATATTACTTTCGTCTCCACTTTCTTCCATATCACTTTCATCCCCACTTTCTTCTCTACTACTTGCGTCTTCACTTCCTCCAATATTATTTCCATACACTTCATTATTTTTGTAAAAATATTCGAATGAAACATTTTCGTTGATTTCTTTTAAAACTGCCGAGGATCTTTTCTCAGAAATAGGTTTTATATTTTCAAATGAATTATAATTAAACACCTTTATAAAACCACCTTTAATGGCGCATTGAAAACAATTTTCTTTATCATCGGAAAAAGACATTTGCTTTTATTGAATATTTATCAAGAAATTTCTTCCGCAAGACGTACTGTATACTGTAGAAATGTACTTTTTGAATTTATATTGTATGCACATCAAACGTCCGTTGTATCACGGTGCACATTATACAAATCGAGTTCAAATTGTCCGAAATTATATACCCAAATTTTGCAGTAGAATAAATTCCAACATACTGTAAATTTTAAAGTTTTACTGCTTTATAATCTTTTTTATTAGGCAATGGGTGCTTAAAGCGATCGAAACTTTTGTGTACGTTTATATGATAAAAATGCTAATAGTGTATAATCAAAGCTAACCCAAATTATTGGCCATCTTTGTTCTTCACAAATCATGTGAACCACTCATGACTAAATGCATAAACGTATTTTGCATCACCCCATTCATCTGCTTTTCCGTCGCACTAACATATCATTTGCAAAATCTATTACTTTGCTACAGTATGTTACCTGAATATGAATGTTGAATTATGATTATTTCATAATTGTTGATGATTCAATTTTCTTTATAAATAAATCTTGCTTTTGTATGTCTGAACAAGATAATGTCAATAACAAGGTATCGTGAAGAGCAGATATTTTAATTCGTAGGGATCGGTTTCCCCGTGTGTCACTTGCGCAGGTGGATTTTCTTTATTTTTGAATAAAATTTCTGTACTACCGTATAATGACTTACATTGTTTAGGTAAATTTTCGGATTTTATTTCCGGCATAATAAACATTCGAAAATCGAATATCAAATATAGAATACAGTATCGAACACTGAATCAGAAGTTGAGATGAAGCAGTGTTTTGATTAGCGTTAGCATTAAAATAAAACAGAAATAAGTGTACAATTAAGTTAACAAGAAAAAAAATAAGTGTATAAAAAACAATAACAAAAAATTGAGTATACTGTATAACCAAATGAAATAATGAAATGAAATAATGAAATAAAGTACATAATTAAAAATAAAATAATGAATAAAGTACATAAATAAAGCTTATTAAAAATAAAATAAATAAAGCTTTAGAACTTGACCATAAATTTTAAAAAACAAATTTAAAAAAATATTCAAATAAGATTGCATTCTTTTTATTAAAGTCAGTTAAGTAGTTAGATTAGTTTCATATTGCCAGCTAATAATTAACTTTTTTTATTGAAAATATTTTTTATTTTATACTAATTCCAATTATATAATAATTTTATTCATATGTACAAGTTGCAACACAATTAAAAAATATCCACAATACAAGTTCAATTTTACAAAATAATCCTTTATAATAAAATTAAAAAATGAAGATATTATTATTATAATCTTAAAATTAAAAGCTTCAAAATTATAATAGTGCTAAAAATTGAAAATTTAATAAATTAATATGATCTCAAAATTAAAAAACTCAAGAATTAGCATAACAAAAACATCAAATATCAAATATATTTATATTATTATAATTATTATGATTATTTAAAAACCAATTGTAATTCCAATATTGAAAATATCAAAAATATAATTTAAATACAAATATTTTATAATATTTTATAATATTTAATTACAAAAATATTTTTAAAATATTATCAATTTATTATATAAACTATATTATATTTTTACAAAGTAATTATTATATATTAAAATCATTTTTTATTTTTATTTTTTTATCAATTAAATTCAAAATCCAAATTTCAAAATACTGAAAAAATCATTTATTTAAATTAAGAAATAAACTAATTAAGATAAATAAATTTAATTTATTGTTTGATAAATTTAATTAATTTAATATTTAATATTAATTTTTTTTATATAAAATTTGTTAATAATAAATTGATTTTTAAATAATTTTTAATATTATATAAAATATTAACAAAACTTTAATTATTATATAACATATATTATTAACTTTACTATCTATAAAATATCAAATAATAAATAATAATATTTTTATAAAATTAAATTTAATAAAAATAATTTGATTATATATTTAAAACAATAATTTTTAACAAAAAAAAGTTATTTAAATTTGTTATTATTATATTATTATTATTTTAAATAAGTAAATATTATTTTTTATTTATTTGTATATTATAAAATAAATATTTTAAAAAAATAACATCTTTTACATACAAATTACAATAATTAAATATTCTCTTATTTATAGTAAATTATTTAACTTCTATTAAAAAATTTTTCTTAATTGGCTAAAAATATTATATAGTTCTCCCCAATAACTGAAGGACCACTTAAGAATTATTATAATTAAATGGAAATAGTTGTCATATATTAAACTTTTTATTTTATTAATAAAA